CAAATTTGAATTTTAATATAGCACTTGCTCAAAGTAGATGATATATTGGTATAGTCAATTATAGATCCGCTCAATTAAGATCTCTTCCAATGTAACAAAAAATACGTAAATAGATGTGTTCACTCCCGTTACTGAATAGTTGATTTTTTATTTATCATATTTTAACTCTTAAAAATGCAAAGATTTTTGATCAAAATATTGATATATTATATATTTTTGCTAATAATTATCATTATTGTGTTTTTCAATGCACAAAGGAATTCGTTTTTATTGTTGCAGATAATCCTGCGAATTTTAGTTATTTAATAAAGATCATAAAATGTTTTTCATTACGTGAAGATCGAATTTTCGTTATTACTTCTATCGTTCGAAATATGCAATTTAAGAGAGACAACATATATTGCTTTTACGCAGCAATGGAGAGTTGAATATTGCATGGAGCTTAAGAAAGCTTTTCAGAGAGTACGTCAAAAATATACTCACATGAAGCATTACGGCTGGCATAATTTTTACTTTTAACAGATGATCGGTTTGTAATTTTACAATATGTAATTAACAGTAGTATCGATTATAACATTGTGCAGGTTTAATTGAAACGATAATGCACGTTTAATCGCATGTTTAATTGCACATTTAATTACAATGCGGATAGCACGAAAAAAACAAGCGAATCACTTAGACGAGTTAATACTTTTGTATCGAACATTGATAGCTAATACTTTAATATAAAGTTTACATTATAAACAAGATATCTTGCAACTAATTACTCGAATCAATCACGGTGCCAACTAGAATGGTACCGCTAAATACTATGTGCCCTTGATATACAATTTTACGATAGTTGCTTGATGCAAATATATATATTGTGCCGTATAAATGACGTACCGATTACCTACTGGTGCTAATCGAGAATTTAGAAAAATGTACAGGAGCGTGTTTTGAATATTAGTTCAATTTTAAATTCAGTTCAATTTCAATAATTTTAAAGTATATTCTTTTATATA